TCTGAGTTTTCCAAGAAAATTACCGAAAAAGGAAATTTTTTAAGGAAATTTAGGATCAGCGGAAAGAGTTTTTTCTTCTAGCTTATCATTGTTTTATCTATCAGTCAGATATATATATATATATATTAAAAATTTATTAATAAACTTGGTTAAGCCAGCATTAAAAATATATATATATATATACAATATATATATCAATTAATTCGATTAATTAATCTATAAATTAATATAATAGTATAGTAATAGTGTTTCCAGGTTATTAAGTATTATTTTGAGTTCAATATTATTGTAAGACAGTATTATCTAAAACCTAGGTAATATAAAAAGATCTTATTCACCTCATAATAATAATCTAGTTATTTTAGGCCAAAATCTTGTCTAATTACAAGAAATTCAAAGATTACAAGACACTTTAGCTGATTTTAGTACTATAATTACCTGTCCAAGATAGGTTCTTGATAGTTCTTGTAGATAAATTGAAGATTTGCATGTCATAAACATTTAAAGATCTAATAGAACTCAAGTATGTTAAGTATGTTAATTAGAAGAGAGTCTTTATCCATAGAAGACACTATTCAAGATTTCATGTGATCATTTCTTAGGTAGACTATAATACGTCATGTAAAAAGAATGGTCTGGTAGGATGAGACACCATCAAAGATTCCACGTAGGTATTCCATAGGCTTGCCATAATAGATAATTTAAAAAGAATACCCAGTGGGACGAGATAAAATAGGAGAGCTCTACCCCGAGGGTAAGTTGAAACAAGATAGCAACAAGTCAAGTAGGACTGCTAAGATCAGCAAAATGGATTTCTCGCAAGCATTAACCATGAAGAAGATTATGCAACATAATTTATCACGTACTTAGAATAGCTCTATGTATCTGTAGCCTATCGGTTTTGTGTACTGTGACTAGTAACGCAATAAATTGGCTTCGTTAACCTTTAAAAAAAACCTTAGAATATATAGAATTTAAAAACAGCAAAAAAATCAGAAGCTCAAAAAAAAGTTATGGCAAATATTAGATAACAAGAAGGTAAAATAGAAACACAGTATCTAATAAAAATATAAAAGAGATATAAAATGGTTATATTAAAAAAGGTACTAGAAAAGAACAGAAAGGTTAAAAAGGGTTTACAAAGAAAATGGACTAATCGTTCTTCACTGGATAAGGGCGAACGCGTATATGATAATCTTCACCAAGCATTGGCAAGTGTCGTAGGATATTGTGTATGCAATAAAATCATAATTTACTTAACCGTTTGTCATTTTTACGAAAGTCGCGTACATTTATTTTATTATAATTAACAGATCATTTATGCCATTAAGTATATAGTGGATGGCAAGATATTTTCGTGACTTTTATAGACATGCACATAAGTTTTAACTTGCTCTCTTTTTCCATAACAACCCGAAATTCATTGCATGTGTATAATATTGATTTTTTTCGTGAATACAGTACAGTATATTACCTTGAAATTGGGTAACTGATTTGCATTAGCCAATCAGACGAAGTTCTATGACCGTTAAGCACGTGCAAATAGTTATCGTGGTTATATATAAGATTTAAGCTTCATCTTGGATCAGAACAAAATGAGTGAAGTTGCGAGTTCATCGTCTTCTACATCGAGATCCTACTCTCATAAGAGCCCCGAGGCGAGAAGTCGAGATTTGGTCTTTCCAGCACATAAACCAATACCAGATAGGCCTATAGGAGTCCCAAGGCAAGGTGGAACGAAAGTACCTGTAAAGAAAATACCAATTAGACTTCTAAAAGGTAAAAACTTAGGTTGTCGATTGATCTTGCCTTAAAAGTTTATGATCTAATTAAATAGTGTTTTTTTGATTCTAGATAAACCCGAGGTTCCTGAAAATTACGAAAATGACGCGTGGTTGAGGCTTCAAGCGGCTGTTAAAGCTATACTTTCTCATCGACCTATAAACGAAAGCCTCGAAGAACTTTATAAAGATTGCAAAAATCTTTGTTCCCAAAAACAAGCCTCTTTGTTATATACCAAGTTATTTAGTGAAATAGAGTCACATGTAACAGAAGAAAGGAATAAGCTAGTTACGTTAGTATTGTAATGGTTATCATTTTGCAAGTGCTTTCCCGAAATAAACTTAACTTTATTTATATTTTTTCAAATTCTGTATCTAGCAATCCTGCTAAAGAGGAAGCTTTTCTTTTTGTGATAAATAACTGTTGGGAGATCTATTGCTCGCAGATGGTAATTATTTTTTAAAATATTATATTCATATAATTAACATATATTATTAAATTTGATTGTTTTTTGATTTAGCAATTGATTCGAAGCATTTTCCTTTATCTTGATCGATCTTATGTGTTTAATGCACAAGGACTTGCTTCAATTTGGTAAGTATATTTTCAAAACAATCACTGGTATAACTAATTTTTATTTAAAAATCATTGAATTTATAAATTAAGGGATAAGGGCCTACATTTATTTCGTAAACACATTATGGTACACGTTGAAGTGGGGAGAAAAGTTTTAGAAGGCACACTAGGGCTCATAAAAATTGAAAGGTATATACTTAAAGTTTAGTATGAGTTACTATTTTTTTTCCTAATACGTAACATTTCTAAATTTTTATTTGTGCAATAACCAGGGATGGTTTTATTGTAAATCGCACGCTAGTGAAAACCTTGATATCTATGTACAGCGAGTTGCACATTTATTATACACAATTCGAAGTTAATTTTCTCACAGAATCTCGTGAATACTATAAGAATGAAGGGAGAAAACTCGTAAAGGAATTGACCGTGCCAAAATATCTTATACATGTCATGTCTCGCCTGCAAAAAGAATTAAAGATAGCGAAGTACTACTTAGAAGATAAGACATCAACGCCCTTAATAAAAGTAGTTGAAGATGAGTTAATAAGGAAACATGTCGAGACCATCTTATCGAAAGGTAAAGAAATATTATAATATTAATGCTCCAATAAAAACACCAGTTTATTATTAATATTCGAAACTAGGGTTTGAAGAAATGATGTCTGCAGAGAGGAAAACGTCTGTTCATGAAACCTCTAAGAAAAGTCATTTGTCGAACTTATATAGTCTATTGTCAAGGGTAAATTCTCTTGATCGCTTACGTACTTACTTTGGAAATTATATAAAGGTGTGTTATTTAGAATTTTTGTCAATTAAAGCAAATTTAACTACTCTACAATTTACACTCATTGAAATCCACAGAAAACTGGCATGGCCATAGTAAATGATCCTGCAGTCGACGATCCAAAACAAGACTTAATAGTCGTTGAAGAACTTTTGGTTTTCAAAGAAAGAATTGATGATATTGTGCAGGGCCCATTTGTTAGCGACTACAATTTTGAGCAGACATTGAAAGAAGGGTTTGAAACATTCATCAATCAACGTAATAACAAGCCCGCAGAACTCATTGGTTAGTGGATATTTACTTGCTAAAAGAGTTCAAGTTTTTCTTGTTGCTTATAACATTTCTACCTTTAGCTAAGTATATAGATAGGAAGTTAAAGATAGGAAATAAGAAGATGAGCGACAAAGAAATCGAAAAAACTTTGAATTCAGCTTTGGTTCTGTTTAGATATATTCAAGGTAAAATCATTATATTTTTCTGCATATTGTTTTGATTGACTTGTTGGAATATTCTATTTGATAAAGTGAATTATAGGCAAAGATGTATTTGAAGGGTTCTATAAACGTGATCTTGCTAAACGTCTCTTAATGAATAAATGTGCTTCTGATGATTATGAAAGGAGCATGCTGATCAAATTGAAAAAAGGTACATTTGATTTATGTTTAATTAATCTTGGACTTTAAGCATTTATCTCCCCTCCATTATAGAATGTGGGCCAGGATACACAAATAATCTGGAACAAATGTTTAAAGATATTAACACCTCCCGCGAATACATGAAAGCTTTCTATGTATGTAATTTATGTAGATTTTTGTCGTATTTTTATTTATTTACTTGTATTTTGTATAGGATTCCAAGTATGGTGAAGAATTCAAAGAAAAGTTTAAGATCGATTTACATGTAAACGCCTTGACCCAAGTAGCGTGGCCCTCCTACTCTCCAGCACCTTTGATTCTTCCTCCTAATGTAATAAATAAGTAAAGTTTATTTTGTTTTCGTGGATTCAAAAAATCATTTGTACTTATTTATTTATTTATTTATTACAGGTCGCTCAATGTCAAAAAATTTATGAAACATTTTACAGAGAAAAAGCAAGAGGAAAAGGATTGAAATGGTATAATAATCTGGGACACTGCGTTTTATCGGCATATTATCTCAATGTAAGTGTTGCTCTGAATTGTGCGAAATAAATATATACATATGTAAGTACGTAAGCGATCAAGAGAATTT